CCCACAAGCAATGAAGCAAATGTTTTAGCTTAAATACGCTGATTCCAAGTAGGGCAGTTTGTCCATTTTTAAATGGGAGCGCAACTATGCTATTACAAACTAATAGCATGGCTTTTCGGGAGATTAGTGATTAAATGACCCCTTACCCTCGGGTTACCTGTCTCGGGTTACGGGGCCATTTAATCACTAATCTCCCTCAAGCCATGCTATTACTTATAATTACTGCATCTCATTTCGCCTCTAATAATTTTTTGCTTTAATTATCATGAAAAATAGCACCCCCTCTGGCCAGGGCTAGGGGGGTGCACACCCCCAGTAAATCCATCCCTGTTGCAACATACACTATAAGAGCTAGAATGATTGCTTCCTTTGGATGATTTGTCTTAGAATTATATTGCCTCTATTACAACAAAAGACTCAACAAACCAAGGCCCCCTCCAAGGCAATTTTGCCAGAACAATAGATTTAATTTGATGGTAACTGTTCTGAGAATATATTAACTCATTGAGTGGCAGCATTCTGCCTAGACTTGCCACAAGTCGACCTCGAACGAAACGCAAGCAGCGAGCGTGAGCCGACGATTCGTTCGAGGTCGACTTGTGGCATGTCTACATTCTGCCCTTGAGTAAAATTGTCAGGCATCAGACGGAGTAATATACTAAAGTAGGGCACATTGCCACTATAAAGGGTTAAACAAACTTTAAAAATGTTTCCAATGGTCTATATTCAAAACGCTGTAAATTTTAATTGACTTTTATATACCTGTTTGGGTATTTATACTTATACTTATAGCTACCTTGCCCAGTCACTTCAAGTTAATTCTACGGCAGGAGGGGGACATTGAAAATCCCTGGATTTACTTGGTAAAAGCAAGATTTGAACCATGCATAACATGTATATGGAGAGCAGTTTTAAATATATTTTATCATGCAAATTCCTTGATAATTGTTCTTAAACGTCTTTGGCTTAGAATGGGTACACCCCCCAAAGGTGTTTATTTACAGGGTCCAAAGGTGTAAATATACACTGTCCAATTAAGGTGTTAATATAAGCAACAAAACAATGTATATAATTAAATTTTATTATATAAAATGTGGAATATATATAAATTGCAATTACCATCCCAAAGTGTACAATTATCAATATAATTAGGACTTAGAAGCTGCTCACATGAGTTTGACTCTGCATGACCCAGCACCCTTGGCTAGCTCCCCTTGACCGATCACAAGTAGAAAACCTCCAAAGAGGCAGGATTTTCTGGAATATTATTAGCAGTGAAATTGTTGGATATTTTCAAGCATGCATTGTAACCTGATTTTAAAGCCTGTTTGAGCATCAAACATTGTGGCAATGACAAGATGGTTCAGCCATATGAATACAATCTTAAAATATTATAAAAAACAATGCAATTTAAGGCGAGACAGCCCAACTCCTGTGAACAGCCCTTTATTACACATTCGAAGCATCTCTTGAGGTATCAAAATACATGCATGCACATGGAATTACACATGAGTATGTGACATAAGCTCACCATTGCACAACTTTGTCTGCAACAATGCAAATACAATCAAGCTGGAAACGGAGAAAGTAATTTTATGGACACTCCTTGCGTGAAAATGTTAATTTATCCCGAAGTTTGAATAAATTAATCCGAGATTGCATTGTTTGCATAATAATGTACTTGTCATTGACCAATCAGAATATATAGAAGACCGGCCGGGCCAGGGCCTTTTCCCGCCTTCCCAATGACAAAAAGGGAAAAGCCCTGGAAACGAGGTTGCCAAATTCCAGTATAGACGGCATTCGACACTGTCAATAGTGGCATCCTACTTAAAAACTTGGATATTTACGGCATAATAGGAACGCCAGGAGGTTGGTCAGGTCTTATTTGACAGTTCGGACGCAACATTGCCAAGTAAAGAGTTCCGTTTTTGGACCACTACGTGTAAAAACAGCAAGGCTCTGCTTAATGGCCGCTTTTATTTCTAATATACATAAATGATCTGCGTCAATGGTTAGAGCGAGCAAGTGCTAGTATGTTTGCCGAATTGCCGACGACGCCCAGGTCGATATATCTGGTGAAAGTATTAGTGAAATTGTCGAAAATTTTAACCATGACTTGGAGAAAGTATCAACTTGGATGTTAGTCAATCAACTTACTTTAAACCATATTATAAAACGGAATACTTGATTGTAGGTATAGTAACAGAAGAATTAACCAAATAGATATGCGACCTCACATACATATTGTAGGAAGGAAAATAGACAGAGTTAAAATAAAAAATTTATTAGCTTTCATGTTTCTTTTTTTACAAAACGACATGTACATGTGCAGAGCAATCTAAATGAATTTACAGGGTATGTATGCTATACATATTTACAAAATAATGGTTTAATATTACAAAAACAGTTACTTAGTTTGAAAGAACAAATGAATACAAAAAAGGAAAACAACTTAAAGTAGTCAATTAATAAAGAGTGATGTTAAGTGCATGGTTAGTTTAGTAAAGTTTTTGCTGGGCAGTCCTTTTTTTTAAAAATTAAACTACAAGATTTCACATTGGCGTATTAATTGCCACAGAGTTTAAAGTAACCAAATTACTTGGTGTTAAGATTGACGAAAATTTGTCATGGAATGCCCAAGTGAACCAAGTTACTGGAAAGGTCAATGCAGGCCACAGCATCCTAAGACGGCTCCGAGAACTAGTGGATTATAGAACACTAATTACAATATTATGATATTTTGGAAAACGCAGGATTTGTAAGATACAAAATTAAGCCAGAAAAGAACAGCAATTGGCGCTCATTATGTTTGAAGTCAAAAACAAAATGTTACCAAATCATTTAATTAACTGAAATTTCCACTAACACGATTTCAATGCATAATCATAATACGAGAAATAGCGAATTCAATTTCGCTTTACCTAAACCAAAAACAAACAATATGAAAAAGGCTTTTGCCTGCAAGGGGGCCGAGGCTTGGAATAACCTTTCCACTGCAATGAAATTACCGAATAGTATCTACAGCTTCAAAACCAAATTGAAGCAAATATATTAATGTTGTTGAATTAATTTTAAAACCATTGATAAGTTATATAATATGTTTTATATAGTGCATGCACACACGGCCTATTGGAAGATCACCTTTTCTTTTTATCTTCTTTTTTATTTCTAACCGATACGTTTGTAAATAATTAATGTTGTAAAATAGTGCCGTTTTTTTAATAAAGTCAATAAAAATGTAAACTATACAAAATACTTACAGAAACTGGATTACATAGGCAGCTTTTTCAGAAATTCATATCCGCTGACGCAAAGAACCGTGTCTTCTCTACAGTAGATATGAAAATCTTAAAATCTGGCTACCTCTCCTGGATTATATTCCAGAGCGTTCTCGTGAATTTCGAATCGGTCGTCGTTCAAGTTTGTGTGCAAAACTCTCACGACAAATTGGGCATCGTGTTCTGCGAGAAAAGAAGAACAGAACGCATTAGTATATGTTTCTGAACGTCAAATTTTTCAATTTTCGGATGAAGGCTAGTATAGGCATGGATAATAAAATAAATGGATAGGAAACTAGCTGACGTGACCTAATGTTTTTACTGGGATTGATGGCGTGGCTGGGTGCCTCAACCTAGTTGAAAACCAAATTCTCAAAAACGGCATGTTTAGCAATAATACAGCTAAACATTTTAGTCAAAGAGCAAATAAATGTAACCACGCCATTCTACGATGAAAACTCTAAGTGTTCCCAGTCAATTTTAGCAAATATTTCAAGCACTAAACAGTGAAAAATACATCGCAAATTTCGCAAAAATTTGTGACGCCAATTTCGTAGCTACAAATGTAAAAAAATACAAAACAAAGACGAAAAACATTTACCTTGAATACTTTGTCGTGGCTTAGGCATGTTTTTAAAACAATTACATCAGTTTACGCTTCAAGATCACCCTTTTAAAGTGGAAAATATAGCAAAACAACAAAAATGCCGAGAACTTTGGTAACATTCGCAATACGCGTGACGTCACGTTTTTCAACAAGGATGCAGTCAATGACGTCAGAAGTTTCCAATCCATTTATTTTATTATCCATGGTATAGGCAATGTTAACAGCGCAGGATTGATGCAATTATAACTGAAAAGTCCAGGAAGAACGTCTACATTTCGAGCGAAGGCCCTCGTCGGGAAGTTAGGGCCTCCGACGAATTGGGCTCGAAATATTAAAGGTCTCATTATTTTTTCAGGTACTTGTATCCCTATCAATCCGAAACTTTCTTACCGTTGGCACTGCCTACACTGGAACAGACCGTTCAAGATTATTATGATTAACAGCAGCAGAAATAGAAATTGTGGCAGGTGCAGGGTCGCGTTAACGCAGTAGCAGGAGCGGCATGTGCCACGAGAACCGCCCTTTAAGGGGCCCTGCGCTCCAGGATTGATGCAAAAAATGCCACACGCCATTTCTACCACACTACACCATGCTAAATAAATATTTCCACAACTTCATGCACAGTTAGCGCCTTGAAAATAAACGCACTTGTTCGTCCTCACGCACGCACGTCCGGTGCCGTATCATGATATTTGGCGTTGGCTTGTATAGATACTGTAGGTTTCCATTGCGTGCGCTTTACCAGCGAGGGCGAACCAAACGAAAGGATACGTCATCGCACGCAAGAAAGGCACCCCATCTATCAAAGTTTGGTGCTCAAAGCAATGTGATCGGTTGACTTTAATTACGTCGTGTGTATTCGGCGGAAATTGTTCAACTTTCAATGCGTGCACGAGCGCTACAAGAGATCCCGCTCGTGGTCACTCCATATAACTTTACAACGCAAGCTCATGGAAAGGGGACGTTATGGAATCCGACCTTAACTCTAGAATGTTTGAATTTTTGAAGCACATACTTTACAATTTGAGTTAAACTTTGGAGACAGCGTTCCTCCCTCCTATAACGGCCGCAATCATGCTTCGTAGGGTTGAGTGACTTCTGTAGGGTAGCGAATATTTACTAATTCTGCATGATCTGATTATCTAAAGGTAGTAATCATTTCCAAAAAGCCATAAAGTACTTACATTCCGCTGCGTATCATTTTCGTTGCACATTCTTTATGCACTTTGTGTGAACATGGGAGAATTTGACATCCAGTGAATGAATCCTGCAAGAAAATACATAAAAACCATTTTCGTGACTCAGTTGAAAATTGAAAGCCTAATAAGCCTGTTCAACCGTATCTTAATGAGTTATGGAGTATATCATAGGTAAGTTAAGCATTAGGGATTCCCCTAACGACATTGATACAAAAGAGAATGTTACGAGACGATATACTGGGAACCAAAAAATTGCATGAGGGAAGAAGCAATTTTGCCCTGCGCTAGTCCCAATATATTTTTTTGTTATGTCAAAATGTATCCAGTCAAATTGTATTTGTATAATACCTCCAAACAAATGCAACATTCGTCGTGTGCAGAATTTTCACGACATCTGTGATTTCCACGAAGTTTGACATCCAAACAAATTCCACAAACATTACAATGAAATGAACGATCTCCGTGAATTCTAAAGTAAAACAAATACAACACATAACTGAATTTATTAATTATTCTGGAAGCTATATCAGTTCTAAACCGCTCCTCCTTGTGGTCACCAAGGTCAAGATTAGCATTATCAAGAGATGAAATCGAAGGTAACTAGAACAAACCTGTTATGCATACCAGAAGAAAACAGGAAAAACTGTCTTAGTATGCAAGAAGGGAAGTTTTGATCAGCAAATTGCATGCAGTACACAAATGATGTATCTTCACAGAGTAACAAAAGATCATGACAAACCCTCATGGTCTTAACAAGGATCGTGCTGTGTAAGCTAAGCAAGTTATACCTGCAGATTCCACATTTGTCGCAATGATAAGGATGGTCATCGTTGCCAGTCAGGTGTTTGCACAAACCACAAAAATAATTGGCGAACACCATAGCACAATCGCAACAAAATTGACCAAACTAAATAAAACAATTAAATAATATATAATATAGCTTAATTTTACAGCAACTTTCGTGCCCACATAATACGTATAAGTCAACTGTTTACACAAATGTGAGCGTAATCCTGTGGAAACTTTTACAACATAAAGTTATGGTTACCGGTTGCACTTTATTGCAGTGAACGCATTTCACCATCTCCGTGTCACGTGATTTAAGCTTCTTTTTTCCACACGTGCTTTGGTTGTTATGACACCGATGGCATGGCCAAAATTTGTCACAACATTCAAATTTGACGTAACACTGTCGTTTGTAATGACTACATAACCAATTACTTCCTATCTGTAGGTCCTGACTTCGAGAAGTGTTTAAAAACCGGGCGTGAGAAACGATGCTTTTTCCTGTGTCTGGACGTTGGAACTTGGAAAGTTTGGAACCGTTACTACCAAATGTTACATGAGTATTTATTGCATTGTTTGTCACTGCTGGATTTGTTCTTGTTGAAGAAATTCCTGCCGTTGGTATTCTCTCGTCTATTATTGAAAGATTAATTAACAATTATTCGCCGAAGGCGAGGTGATTATCGGTGAATAAAAACCGAGACGAAGTCGAGGTTTTTATTCACGATAATCACCGAGCCGGAGATGAATAATTGCTTTAGTATAATTTCATAGGTGATTATGTAGAAAAACATAAAAAATACACATTTCTTCGTCATTTAATTGACAAAACGGCTTCGGCCGCCATTTTGAAAATCGCTTAGGTGATTATCGCGTAATAATCACCTCAACAGCAACCAATCAGCGTGGAGAATTTTCAATAATCACCTATGTAATTATACTAAAACCAATTATTACACACTTTTATTTAACTCTTCCATAAAATAACTCTATCGACCCTAACAGTTTTTTCTGCGGAATCAGGAAGGGGCATTTCTCATTGCACTGGTATCCCTGCAAGGGGAAACGAAAATTAAACTTCACCAATCACCAAAATTATAGAAGGCATTTCCAACCAGTGAAAAATAGCTTTTACAACAACGCTTTGCGGGACAATGTTAAAAGGCGTGTTAAAAGGTGTATAATATACAAAGCATATAACTTTATAGTTTATCCATGTGTTTCAATCGGTTTCAAATAACACCTCAAATTCCATGTCTTAATAGGGAATTAATTTTGACACAGTGTATATATACACGTGTTTCTTTTCGGTTCCAAACAAAAAATTTTGCGTTCGATTGGTAGACAGGTGTTAATTTGTTTCCACAGTGGCGGACACTTTGCGAAATATGGTGGGGGAGGGCGGCTCGTGCCGAAGGAACGGGGAAATTTTTAAATTTGAATCCCGGAAATGACATTTGGAGCATTCTGAGAACACATTTTGTTGAAGACTAGGTTTTCAAAACACCGTTTCAATGTTGCATTTTGTTATAACTCACATGCTAAGCATAGAAACCAGCATTTCAGAGAAAATATTTACATGATTTTTACATTTGTGAATGGAATAGCAAGGTGGTTTAATGACAATGTAAAAATTTATTTCTCTAAGTGAGCGAGTGAAATTTATTCGTTGCGCTCGCTTTTGTTTTTTTTAACATAAAATTGGAATGTTAATTGAATTCCCCATTGTTTTTAAACATGATAGTTTAATATTATTGTGCAGCAGAAAATTTCGCCGCTAAACAATAGTATAAGCTTCAAACAACAAAAAATCGACAATGACATTTAAAGAAGTACCTGTTGCGAAAAGTTGACCCCCTAATATCCGTCAAATTAAAAAGAGTGTATAAAGTGCGGATGTTGTGACATGTACAGTATAGAAACATATATTATTATATTATGATGACAATTACGTTATATGAGTGTAATTTGTTTTAATTGGTACAAGATTTCTACAGTCTTTCAAAATTATTGGGGGGGCTCGCCCCTTAGTCGCCCCTCCCCCAAGTGTCCGCCACTGTGTTTCCATTTACTGCGTTCACACTTTCCACGAAAATATTTCTTCGAAAGGTGTAGCGACGGATAAGTAAGAAAAATGCAATTTTTATAAAAATCATTGTAACTATAACTCAAAGCCATGACGCGCGAAAAAATTATTAAATTTAAAGGAATAACATCTATTCATGGAAAATTTCACCAAGCCAACAAATTATATTTGTTTTATATATAATGGCTTTTTAGGAGTCGTTTGAAATACTTTTTAGCTGTACCGTAGTAAATTTGCTGCTCTGATGGGTATAATATGTCAAATTTTACAGGGGCTGCGTGTGCTGTTTAGTAAGCTCAAGCATTTTACCTAAGACCCGCCCTCAATCCAAAAATGACTTCGCGGTTGCTTTTGAAAAACAGCTGATATATAATAAACAAGCAAAATATACACATAGATGAAGGTTGAAAGTATGGTTAACAGGAGTACAACATTAAGCTCCGTTCATGAGTAGAGTACTGCTTCGGAATCGCAGGAGCGCATGTTCTATTTCTGCCAGGGACCTGTAGTTTCATTTTGACCAGCTGTTCCTGGTTACTGAAGTCAAATTAATGTTCATAAATTTTCACTCATAATTTCCATGTACAAGACCCTTCAGTTATACTGTCCTTGCGCGTTTCATACACAGATCCCAATGTGTCATAATTATGGAACAACTTTAATTAAATCACAATCAGTAATTGCTATACGTTCGTTAAAAAAGCGAAACATATTAATTTTCTAAAGGATACCAGTCTTGTAAAACATTAATTAAAGAAACTTACTTGTAACAGGGACGTCACCAACAACTGCACTTGATCCAGTCCCAACAGGAATCGCATTTCCCTGTTCATGGGCTGTGGATTGGTTTTCATTGGGAGACCTAGAGCAGAGCTTCCAGTTGTCTGTGTTTGGGTATCCTGAGAAACTTGTGAGAACAGGATGGTGATTTTGTCCAGAGATCGATCTTTGTGGTGTATTGTTATTTTCTGGTTTCCTTGAAGTTGCTGGGTTTCTGTTTCTATTAACTTCTGCTGGACAGGTGGAAGTTCTTCCAGCTGTGCTTGAACCTTGAGGGAAGGACTGACTGGAACACGCTGTATTGACGACACTTGTATAGCATGAAGTGGAACCATGCTGAAGATTGTGTGTCCTATTCGCTTCTCGTTTTTTCCAGGCTGGAATTTGGCGAAGTAAACTGTAATCACCAAGGAGAAATTCATCAATAATACAGACAAGATCAATCCTGACAATGGATTCAAAGAAATCGCGAAGTGGATTTAAATTTGAAGCATTGATTATTCCCTTCATATCAAGTTGAAAGAGAACATCAGTACCATTTTGAGCGTTCTCGATTGAGAATTTTTGAGTAGCCCACTCCTTTAACTTTACGACGTCAGAGAAAAGAAATCTTTGGCCCAGAGATAGTAAAAGAAGCTTGTAATTGTTGTACAACATCGTTGCCACTGATGTTGGTGGTACATTACTGAGGGAAATGTACTCTCTTCCATTTGAATCATCTTGCTGGACTGAGAACGACAAATCTTCATAGATTCGCTGAGTTGAACCTTTCTCATTCCGCTCCTCTCCAGATGGCATTGGCATTAAACTGGCCACCTTGACATTTCCAGTTTGATCAATTCTCTCTCCGCCACTTGACATCTCTCTCATTTCACTTTCATTTTGTATTGCTGGAATTTCGCCTGTGCTGTCTTGACTTCCTCCGTGAATTTTGGCCTTTTTGACCATCTCTTCTTTCTCCGCTCGTTGATTACGTCCTTGCAACGCGGCACCCATGAGAAGTTGTTGACTAGTACTAGGAGCAGCGGTATAAGCACCTGATGTATTCACTGGATGATCATCACTTTCATGTGTTGTATGAGAATTTATGAAACCATTTAGAGAGAGATTTCCATTTAGGGAAGAGTCACTTATGTAGCCAAGCATGTCATCTTTAGGAATTGGATTGTCATTTCCGGTAGGGGAAACAGATCGTGCTTCGGGTGACGAGTTACGGAATACCCGTTGAGAGCGTTCCGAGTTTCGTTTTTGGCTTTCTCTAGCCGTTGTGTCCACATTAATTTTTCCCAGCTCAATCAAAATCTCTTCCTTTTTAATTTGTAATGTTTCCAACTGTTTTTTCAGACTGTTCTTTTTTTGTTTCAGCTGTTTAAGTTGATTTTCTAAATGCATGTTTTTAGTTAATTCGCGCCATTCTCGAGTGGTATGTAATTGTTCCATGTTCTTTTCATGCAGCATTACGCCTTTTTTAGTTTCAAAGGCAGGTTCCTGTGTTTGTTTATATTCATTGATGCCTTTTCGTAAAGACTCTTGTGAAATACTGCATGGTTGACAATCTAAGTGGCAACCTAGGTTATCATTTGTAGAATCAGCATTTTCATTATCGCTCTCCGTGGAACTATGTCCCCTTAACAAACTTAGCAATTTTTTTAATGTTTTGTCAGTGTCTTCGTAGGTACATTTCCTATGGTCGGTCAACAGTTTTAGCTGGTCTGCACTTTCTTCACTTGGCGATTCAAGACAACTCGCAACCAAGTCTAATGAAATCAATGTTTCTGCAAACTTACCTTTCAATTCCGAAATGCAACTAATTAATTCAGGGTTTAATGTTGGATCAAAATTTGGTGATTTAACAGAAGTGGATTTCCTTTTCTTCTGAAAGGCATATGCACTTAAATAAAAATCATCCACAAGTATTGGATTAGATTTATAATTTTCACTTGGATTTCCAATCAATACTATAATAGTGCTTTTATGATTAAATTTCTTAAAAGTCGCCCTAGGTGGTACTTCATCTCCATCGTTACACAATGGAGAAACTGACGGAGTCATAATATCTTTGTTCGACATTGTGCTTACGAAGCTAGGTAGTATACGTAGTAGCTTTGTGGTACTATGTATCTTCATGTTAACCGACAAATCCATGACTGATAAGAATTAGCACAAATCCTTTGAACAAACGATGGATATCTTCAGTTAACAAAAACCTTTAAAATGGAAAAATAAACAAGGATATATATATTTTCTCAGACACACAATGCGATTCTGCAGTGAAACGCAATTTTTCAGGATCAAAATTATCAAAAATTAAAAATCGAAAATCGTATTGCGCTGTCCAATTGTGTTCAGCGTATCACGATCTCAACAAGTGTACCAACGAATTACGATTAAGTTAAACTTAACTGCAGTACAAATCCAATTTAAATTTTAAAGGCGAGCGCAATCACAACGTAGCTAGCTACGTCATAAACCAAATACCCGCGCTTGTATTACAAAATTAAAGCTCGCAATTTTGTCGATGATTCAAATTATTAATAACATCCCTTCTTAAAAATCAGCTCATACGATTGCAAAGTCAATTCAATTGTTAAGTTTATACATGCACAAAAGAAAATATTATCATGTACATGATAATGACAGGGTTCTTATCAGACTTCCGCCACCCGTGACAGGTACGAACTTTTCATATTTTTGTAGCGCGCCAAGTATATTGTCCCGAAAGCTAGTGTGGCACTAAGAATTGATAGCCAATCAGTGTGAAATATTCTTAAGTCATCATTACAATTCTGCGCCAGTGGCGTAACTACTATGGGCTCAGACCGGGTGAACCCGGGGGCCCCCAACCCAAATGGGGGCCCCCAGGCTTAGACGATAGGGCAAAAACATTGGCCAGGGCCTCTGATATGTTACAATGTCGTTTTATGACCATCAGAATTCTGTAAAATCTCTCCCCAAACAGGTCATGCCATTTCCTGGACCCCCTAGAAAACTCGTGCATATACGGCGCTCGACTCGTGCCTTTGGCACCTCTACTAGGGGGGCCTTCGAAAATTTTGAACCGGGGGCCCCCTGATATAACGTTACGCCACTGTTCTGCGCACACAATTAATTTGGTTGTTTGTTCCTGAAATCCAAAGGCTAATTGTTAAAGCTTTTAACTTGCCATTCAGCTGTGAACAGTTAATTAAATACAAATGGTCAAAGTAATGAAATTAAATTAAAGGACGCAGGCATTCGATTAAATTAAAGGACGCAGGTATTCTCGTCAAAACTTTTGCTGGCGTGCTCTACAATGATCTTGTGATAAGTACATCGTTCCAAATCAATTTTCTTATTTCCGTCTGGGTACACTAAATTGCACCTAACATGACGTGAAAACAAAACGGCGAGAAGCGAGAAAGAGATCCTAACACTCGTCGCCGAAACAATTTTCGGGGTGGTCACCAGGGCATTTTTTAACTATATAACTGGGGGGTCAAAGCCCCCAGCCCCCATGGTGCCCCCCCCCTCCCACTCAACCATTTTGGCCCCCCCAGTGAAAGTCCCTTTTCTCTAAAATATAAGCAAAACATAGAATTTAGAAGTGAGGTTTGATATTCTAGTAACTGAAATTTGCTTTGTGAATCTTATGTTCTGTCTTTTAACATTATTTAATGCTAAACATTGTGTTGTAAATACCTTATTATATTTTAAACATTTTCCAGTGGATTGCATTTCCCAGACCCTATAGATTTGAGTTGTTGGAAGGCTCGGCTAAACAAGTTAGTGACCGCAGAAGGCGTAGGAAGCAGCGGGAAACAGGCCCCCAACCCAGTGTTTTATAAGGGGAGATAATTTTGGCCCTCCACCAAAAAAAACCCAATTGATTTCGAAACTAGAAGTATTTGAAATCGTATATATATAATCAAATATCTGTAATCGATATTTTGATAACAACATATTTCTCGTAATAATCCATCCTGACTCACGGATAGCATAGACTCACAAATCATAATGAAAGAATTGATGAAATGGCCTAACAAAAGAGGTAGGGAAGACTTTGAAATGCCATTTCCGACGATTTAGAGACACAAAATGTTCAAAATTTTCCCGCTCTGTGCCAACCATGGTGGCGCTCAGTGGGAGCCGGATCCTCTAAGTTTATCAAGCTGACTCCCTAGGTGACCAAGTTGTGGTATCTACATAAACATACCATGCAAGTACTTCACTGAAGGTTCAGTCTATCTACAGCATAATGTAATGCTGTATATCCAAAAATCTGTTTCAGAAAATGCAGGAATTGCAGTCATAGGGGTAGAAAAATACAAAAATTTTCTGAGGGAGAATACCCCCAGACCCCCCTACTATTAAATGCGATACCACATCAAAATTTTTGTTACCACCAACCATGTATAATTTCTCCACACTTGGTATAGTATGGTCCCTTTTTGTAGCCCCCACGGACGAATTCTTAAAAAATGCCCTGGTGGTCACAAAAGGCAAGCGGGAAGTAGCCGAAACAGTATAGAACACATCTGCATTGACCTTTTGAATTCAATCAAAGCATATTATTGATTTAATATATTTGGGCATTCATTTCGAAAAATGCATAAATATTGCAATATGTGGTTAATTTCGAATTAGGCCTAAGTTTGCTTCGGCTCAAAAAAGTATGAAACTCGATGAATCCAGTATTAAAAACTCATGGGAAAAATGTTGATATTTTCCTAAATTTTTCCTGTAAAATACTCATTCAGTCCTCTTTTAATAATCAGATTCATAAGGATTATTGTATATCTCATCGCTTTTTATAAGATTATTGAAAATATAAAATAGCTAATTACGTATTTAAAGCTATATGGAACTGATAATCCCCGAGCCGGCGGCGCGAAGCGCCGTGCGAGGGTACTAATTCCGCACGGCTAATTATACCCGGGTATGTGAAAACATAGCGGAGTGCAAAGTTGTCCTCCATTTGGTTTATGTCATGGACGGTTATCCACGTTATGCGCATGCGCGAGTGCAAGCTCTCTTTCAAAATGGAAACCAATAATTACTTAGACACGTATTTTGAACGTATTTTGCTATTTTACGGCAATTTTTTGTTTTAAGTTTCGTTAAAAAGTTTACAAAAGTACAACACAGTTTTTTTTTGCTGATTTCAACTGGAAATGAGCCTGCAGTTTCATCATTTAGTGGCTGGTCAGCCGTGAAACAAAGTTTGTATAATAATTGTTTTGATGTTTTGATGTTGATGTCTTTGATCATTTAATTGTTGTTGTGCCGATTTGGGTAAGTGTAAACATTACAGTAGTAAAATTCCATGCCGTACTTGCTCATGTGTTGTTAATTTTATTCATATTTTCGAATTTTTTAAGCCATTCTTAACTTGATAATTCACTTTAATGTAAGCTGGTGTGCATGAAATATTGCAGTGAATGTTATCGATATCGTTCATTATAAAGCTAGCGCATCAGTTGTGTTTTTATGTTTGTTTATAATGGTCTTAATAGTGGACTTTTTATATACTTAATCTGTTAAGAAAGGCGAAGGGTTGCTGCATGCATGTATTTTCTAGTTCATATTATTTTTCACCCTGCTCGGTTTCCTTTGCTCTTATCCGAGAATGTACATGCGCGCCTCGGTGAATAGATCACATACTGCATCCCCTCGTTGCCTCAAAATAACCTATACTTAATGGTAATCGAAAAGTAACCTGAAATATAAAACAGAATCGTAGCCATGCATGATAAAATAGCTTGTTTAATTAAAGTATAATTTTAGTACAGGCCATGCCACGTATAGGTAACTTGAAAGACTGGAATTTTAAATGTTGGTTTTTCGAGGTATTTCAACATTCAATATATAGAGCGTCTGCACATGATAGATAGATGGATAGATAGATAGATAGATTACATATTACATACTAGAAATACATGCATGCAGTAACCCCTCGCCACTATTTTCCAAACATTTAACATGAAGTATTCAGAAATGACCAACAGTGAACGCAGGCTCGCGCTCAAGTGTTGCCATGACAACACGATATTCTTAAATTTTTATTTTCATATTTTTTGTACAAAACTGCAAAATAGTTAAAAGATTAGTACTTTTATTAACTATACAACAATAAATTTTCGAAACACATACTGTAGGTATATTATTTTGCATTTTGTGAGCTTTGATTTAATGTAAAATTTAACTTGAAACGCTTCGTAAAATGTTTTGAAATGTTCATTCAAGTAAACTACATTTTGCCGATAAACTGTTTTTACTTAACAAAACATGATAAGTTTAATACAAATAAAACAAATTGTTAGGTAATTTCAGTTCAGTCTTCAAATCAATTTGTTCGTCTTTACATTTTAAGATATTTTCTCAAATTAAACGGTAATTTATGAAACTTAGAGCTTCGTTGAAAAGGAAGACAGTTCATGTTTTTAGGCTAAAAGTTAAAGCATCAAAATTTGTAAACATTAAACTTGCCGTATATTTCACGATTTCCCGTAGTAAATCAATTCTTCTCATTTCTTCAAACAAAATTGCTTCAAGCTTGTCCCCGAGCCGGCGGCGCGAAGCGCCGTGCGAGGGTATAATCCCCCCCGGCTATTTACACCCGGGGAATCGAAAGCATTAGCGAAGTCTAAAGTTCATCAATCATCGCGGGCGCTCACCAACGATGGGTGGTCATCCCAGTCATCCTCACTGATCTCAAAAATATTGCTGATTGCTTGTAGGAGTGGGTAAGCAAGATTTCAAGTTTTAAAAGACATATATTTGGAAAATCGTTTCATATACAACAAGCTTGAAGCAATTTTGTTTGAAGAAATGAGAAGAATTGATTTACTACGGGAAATCGTGAAATATACGGCAAGTTTAATGTTTACGAATTTTGATGCTTTAACTTTTTGCCTAAAAACATGAACTGTCTTCCTTTTCAACGAAGCTCTAAGTTTCATAAATTACCGTTTAATTTGAGAAAATATCTTAAAATGTAAAGACGAGCAAATTGATTTGAAGACTGAACTGAAATTACCTAACAATTTGTTTTATTTGTATTAAACTTATCATGTTTTATTAAGTAAAAACAGTTTAACGGCAAAATGTAGTTTACTTGAATGAACATTTCAAACATTTTACGAAGCGTTTCAAGTTAAATTTTACCTTAAATCAAAGCTCACAAAATGCAAAATAATATACCTACAGTATATATTTCGGAAATTTATTGTTGTATAGTTAATAAAAGTACGAATCTTTCAACTATTTTGCAGTTTTGTACAAAAAATATGAAAATAAAAATTTAAGAATATCGTGTTGTCATGGCAACACTTGAGCGCGAGCCTGCGTTCACTGTTGGTCATTTCCGAATACTTCATGTTAAATGTTTGGAAAATATTGGCGAGAGGTTACTGCATGCATGTATTTCTAGTTGTATATTAAACGATTTTCCAAATATATATCTGTTAAAACTTGAAATCTTGCTTACCCACTCCTACAAGCAATCAGCCATATTTTTGAGATCAGTGAGGATGACCACCCATCGTTGGTGAGCGCCCGCGATGATTGATGAACCTTAGACTTCGCTAATGCTTTCGATTCCCCGGGTGTAAATAGCCGGAGGGGATTAGTACCCTCGCACGGCGCTTCGCGCCGTCGGCTCGGGGATTACAGAATGTAATAGTATTACATATTACATGATATCAGCGGAAATTCAGATATGTCCCCCAAAATAAGAATCAACCAAAGTTTTAAGCACAACTATAAAAAAAACCCCAAACATGCATAAAAGCAAAAGGTTAACGCGAGGCAGCGGCAATGGTGGTGGAAGTCATATCAGAACCCCACCAATATCCTTTTAAACTACTCCTTTGACATTGTGTTCCTAAAACGATTTGTTCGTGTGGTCGGACAGTCAAAAGGTCGCTGTCTTCTCAGATTATATGCTGAGATATTCTTGAGTAGCAGAAGATGGTGAAGTTTGTGCTCGGTATATCAGATATAACTGACTGAAATAGTTTCTTACACAGTTTCAGCCGCCTGCAGTCTCTCAACAATAATTACCAGATACTGTAAAGTGTGTGTTATATTAATACAATTTCATGTTATTTTTGGTGCCAATATTTTAATTAAACTGACATTAAATGTGAATAAAAATTCTTCACTCTATCGTTTAACATGATACGATTAAGCTTCTTGTAAGTAATTAATATGGACTTTTGTATGTTTTCTTTTGGTAAACAAATATTAATAACCATTGTTTTTTGTCCAATATGTAGATTATCGTATTCATTTAGCATTCAGTGCCAACGTTGGCCATCATTATTGTCCAATAACGTGTTAGGTTAGTTATGTACATACAGGTTTGTAGTATCTTAACATGCAGTGTTCCTGACATCGATATGGTAGATTGGAAACAAGTACGGTAATTTAATGATACATTGAAGATTCCACCCAATGGCATTAGATGTAATATATTCATACAATCTTGTAAATCAGCACCCTTGTTTTAATAGGAATAAATACATTTCTGTTAATCCAGAACCTCCCAATCTATTAGGCCACATACGATGTAATAGAGTATATCCATATTATATTTTCACTCTACTATTTGGTTTCATCCAGTAATTAAGATGGCACCATTCATATCCGTCAGAATTGCAAATCTATAGAAAAAAAATATTAGTAGTATAAGATTAATATCTTAATTAATATACCACAAAACCTCAAAGATTAATATACCACAAAATTGTGCTCTACCCCAATGGATAGATCAGTGTTACTTTTTGCCACAGTGGGCAGATCAGCTATACTTTTTGTCACAAAGATCTCTGCCACAAATGGTAGTTCAATTTTATTCTCTGCCTCAATGGGCTCTACCGCATTGGGTAGTCGAATACTATTTTGTGCCTCAATGGGCTCTACCACAATGGGTAGATCTGTTATTAACTTTAGGTAAGTTCACAGATAAGATATATCTACAGATAAGATTCGACACCAGGTTCTAAGACAACAAAACCATTATCCAGAGCTTACAAGTAGATTTTGTCTCCTTCTAATAAGACATTATTCAATGTTGTTTTTGACCAATTGATCAGTGGAATATTTTACACAGTTAACCTGTCGGAAAACCTATTAAAGATCATTCTTTGCCTGTAGGTTGAACACTAAATCAATATTGTTTTTGACCAATCGATCAGTAGGATATTTTGGGTACCTAAAACTACCTACAAACTCATAAAGGCAAATTGTTTTCCTTTAGCTTGAACACTAAAAAGGTCATCGCTTTGATGTATTTTAGAAGAAAGAAAAGAGCCATACTTACATAATTTTTCCGAATATTTAAAAGCTTGAAAAATCTTGAGCACATGATGATGCGTGCGCTATAAAAAGTTTTGTTATGACCGCTCTCTTCATTTAACAAACGTTCCTGACGCTTAACTATTCCACCGGAGTACGGCATCTTTGCAGATGGACACAAGATCGAGATCTCGACCATACATAGACTGGGTTGGGTGGACTCTGGAGATCCAACCACGTGTCAAGAATAGTGTGCTACCTCGCTGCGTTCGGCAGCTGATGGTGATTTTTTATTTTATTTTTATTAATAATTATATTTATCCATGATACCCACATCTCTAGTGTAGTTTTCTTCAATATTGTATTTATAAAACGTCAAAGTAACTACCATGCATCGTGGTGGTGACCCCCCCCCAAAAGAAACATCATGACTGTTTTATGACGTCCATAATGTGTTCGCACCATATATCTAACAAGTACTATTTTAATTATCAAGTCCTAACCTATTTGGTTCATAACGAATTCTGACAGGATATCGTTGTTTAGGTTGTTCCACTTGATCAATTTCTTGATTTGGCTCTAAAGTTTCTTGTTGCTCTTGTATGTCCACGGGTGTTTCGTCTTTAGCATTATTTTCATTGGCCAAGGCTGGAATATCTGTAACTTGTTCAAGATATTGAGTGTTGGTTATGTTTTCCGAGGCAAGTAATTGATCGATGTGTCTCCTCCAGATAACATTTGCTACAATCTCCACCTGGTATGACACTGGTACGGTTCGAGCACGCACAAATCCTTGAATCCACTTTTCCTTCCCTCTGTAATTTCTTACATTCACTGCCTGCCCAATGAATAGTTGACGTACATTACCGGCAATAGCACCCTTGGGTTTGGCTTGGCTGACTTGCTCCTCTATAACATGCTTTCGAGTATCCGGTTTGATCAAGTCTAACCGTGAGCGTAAATTTCGTCCCATGAAGAAAGTTGTTGGTGTATCACCAGCCGTGCTGTGTGGCGTGTTTCTATATTTCACTAAGAATTTTGATAGTTTGGTCTGCGTGGAGCCAAGGTCTTCCTTCATTCAAGTCAAAGATTGTTCAAGTCAAGGCAAAGGAAAACGAGCAAACGAGAGAAGCGCATAAGGCAAGTGAGGAAAGAACAGCAGAAAGACAACGGACTAAAGAAACGGTCGTTATAGCTGGAGATTCGATTATAAAATATGTAAAAGGTTGGGAAGTATCCAACACTGACAGAAACGTAATAGTTAAGTCTTTCTCAGGTGCAACAGTTAATGATATGTCTGATTTCTTAAAGCCCACTGCACGAAAGCAACCCGATAAGCTCATTATCCATGCAGGTACAAACGACATACGCTATTCAAATCCTAAAGAAATTGCAAAGAAAATTATCGAGTTAGCAGAGAATTTTAAAAAGGATTGCAATAATACTGAAGTCATCATCTCTTCTTTAGTCACTAGATGCGATAGAGAGGAACTTACAACGAAGGTAAATGAAACTAACAATATATTAAAGTCAAGCTGCTTGAAGAAAAAGCTTGCATTTTTAGACAATAGTAATATTAGTCGCTCTCATTTAAATAGTAGAGGACTGCATTTAAACCGAGAAGGTAGCTCTTTGCTTCAGGCAAACGTTTCATATTTCTTAAGTTCGCATAATTGAAATGAGGACGGGTCGAGGAGGAGTGCTAATGATGCCTGTTTAAATATTCCGAAAACAAGGGGTTTTAAGATGGCTATGCTTAATGTAGTTAGCCTTCCGAAACACCTTGATGAAATCCGATTATTACTTCACGATAAATATTTAGATGTTTTAGCAGTTAATGAAACCCGTTTGGACTCCACTATTTCCGATGGGATTGTTAGCATTGAAGGTTATGACTTGCTACGTGCTGATCGGAATAGAAATGGAGGAGGGGTAGGTATTTATATAAGACGCCATATAAATTATGAAAATCGCCCTGATCTAGTTCCAACAGACCTTGAAGCTGTCTGTGTGGAAATTAAGCAGGCTAATAGTCAATCTTTTATAGTTTCAAGTATTTATAGACCACCATGTTCCGCTAGTGAAGTGTTTATAAAAATTGAGAGGCTAATCAAATCAATTGATGATGAAAATATAAAATTTTATATTTTGGGAGATTTAAATTGTAATATGCTAGAACCAACTTTGTCCACCACTAGAAAGCTTCAAGACGTTTTGGAATTATATCAGCTTACACAATTAATTAATAACCCTACGCGTATTACCCAGTCTAGCCAATCATTATTGGATGTAGTAATTGCGTCAATGCCTGAAAAAATAATTTTTTCAGGTGTAGTCCATCTCGGAATTAGTGATCACAGCCACATTTATAGTATTCGGAAAATAAATACAAGAATAAAAACTGATTTACAAGGTTCTGTCGAGTATAGAAATTTTAAGAATTTCAATGTTTCAGACTTTCTATATGACTTACAAAATATACCCTGGGAAGAAATAAGATTTAAAAGAAATGTAGATGAAATGTGGCGGTTATGGAAAACATTTTTTGTAGATGTGCTGGATAAACATGCCCCTGTGAGAGTAAAAAGATTAAGAAAAGGGGGCAATATTCCTTGGGTAAGCCGGGAAGTAAAGGAAAAATTATTTAAAAGAGATGCTCTTAAGCGTAAAGCAATAAAGACAAATAAAGAAGAAGACTGGAGACTATATAAGTCATCTAGAAATGTTGCCAACACTGCTTTGCGCAGTGCTAAAAGAGATTATTATGCAAACAAATTCACAAATAATAAACAGAATCCTAAATATGCTTGGAGAACAATAAACGATATATTAGGTCGAAACAGAAAACAGACTACGATTAATGAAATTAAACTTCCAGGTAAAACTGTTACATCGACGACGAATTAGTCGACATTTTTAATGATCATTTTAGTAATATTGGCCCAAAGCTTGCTGAGTCTATTCCAAATGACAATGACGTTAGTTTTCGAGATTTTATTACTCAACAAAAATCTAAGACAAAGAACAGTTTCTCATTTCGACCAGTGAGTGTAACATTGGTTTACACTCTTCTAGTTAATTTGTCTACCACCAAAGCGACTGGAATGGATAAAATTTCAGCTAAAATTCTACAAGTAGCAGCTCCAGTTATTGCATCTTCTCTTACTGAGATTTTTAATATGTCAATTGACTTGGATCAATTTCCTTCTAATTGGAAAGCTGCAAGGGTTATTCCATTGTTTAAGAAAGGTCAGCGGTCCATGTTGGACAACTATAGACGGATATCAATCCTTCCTGTAGTAAGTAAACTTATGGAAAGAATTATGTATGATCAAATGTATGAGTATCTTAACCAGAATAATCTTTTCTCAAAACACCAATTTGGTTTCAGACCTTATCATTCCACAACTACTACATTATTGGATTGTACGAACGAATGGTATACCAACATGGACCGTGGGCTGTATAACTTAGTTGTTTTTCTTGCCCTAAAAAAAGCATTCGATACAGTCGACCACGAAATACTGTTAAGTAAGTTTGAAATGTATGGTTTCCAAAGGAAAGCATTAAATCTTTTACGTTGCTATTTGACGCACCGAACTCAAAGTTGTCAATTGGCCAGTATACTCTCGGTGGAGAAAGAAATCATTTGTGGCATTCCTCAGGGAAGTATACTCGGCCCTCTCTTACTTATTATGTATATAAATGATTTGCCAAGCTGCCTAGAACGCACAACTCCAAGAATGTTTGCTGATGATACTAACTTAACGGCAGTAGGCAGAACAATTAGTGAGACGGAAGAGAGGGCGAACGTAGACATGAGGAATGTTCAGAAATGGCTTTGTGCAAATAAATTAAGTCTAAATATAGCGAAAACCGAGTATGTTTTAATTGGAACACGACATAAAATAAGTAATATTGATACCCATCAAGGAGTTAAAATAAATAATCAATTGATTAAAAAAGTTAAAAATACCAAAGCTCTTGGAGTTGAATTACACGAAAACTTGAGTTGGGAAAAACACATTAACCATATTAGCAGTAAAATATCATCAGGTATTGGGGCTATTAGAAAAATGAGGGAGTATGTCGAACAAGACATTTTGATAAAAGTTTATAATGCCTTAATCCAACCTTATTTGATTATTGCTGTGAAGTATGGGATACACTTAATAAAGGCCTAAGTGAACGTCTACAGAAATTCCAAAACAGAGCGGCTAGGTTGATCATGAACTTAAAAAATGAACATGGTCAGTCTATTTTGGCACGAAAATCTCTAGGCT